CCACATTGTATTATCAATAATGGATTGTTATATTACAATTTAAGACTGCTTATATATTTCTCTTAGTATACATATTTGATAAAGGACATTTTCTTTAAATAGTTCTGCATGAATATATTGGAATTTTCGTAGGATGTGATCCGGATTATTCCGGCCTAATCAACCGGAAAAGTGATGTGCCCTTTTTAAGGACCGAAACCAATATTATTTATCAAGGAATAATTAAAGTACATTTTAAAGGGAGACACATTCAAAATGTACATTGCTTTGTTTTGAATTTTTTATTCATTATATATCCTGTAAATGTCCTCAAAATAATTACACTAGACAGTCATAGGAACAAAATTGTTCTACTTAATATAAAAAATGAAATGGTTGTGTCCTAACTTGACCTACGTGGGTAAGTTTAGAACGTTAAGATTTCACAATAGTTGTCACAGTGAACTTTGGAAACGTTAAAAAACATGTCAAATAAACTACTTAGACTTGTTTCAATCATACAATAACCGCAATATATGTAACTTAGTGTAACTTCCCGAGTTTGTTCAAGTCAAATGATTTGTAACACGTTTTCGGTGATTCTGTCGGCGTCTAAATTTCGTTCAACAAAAAATTTATTTGGGTATATTTAAGCTCCAAACTCACAATTTATAGAATTTATAAAGACATTTAAGCTGGGACTTTAAGGTTGGAGTTCGTAAGATTAGTTTTATATTTTTGCCATTAATTTGCCTGAGTACCCTTTAACGCAAGTAAGAAACTCTGGCCAAGCAAAATTCAAAATAAATCAGATCCAAAAGTCAAGAAGTAAATTACAGTGTTTTATATGTTTACGACTTTTTTCAAACTTTATATATCTGATGATGTTTTTTTATTTAAATAAATTTTACATTACAATAACATAGGGTAAATAACAATACATACATATGACATATCAAAAGGGTTATTGTTTCGTGACTGCAGTTGAACAATAGTTTATTCTTTAATACAATGGAACAAAAGGGTCAGTTGAAAACAATATTATTATGAATAGTTTGAAATGTTTTAGCAAGTTTCAAAGTTATGGACTGGCGAGCTTTTAGTTATTTATTATCTTTATGGCTTGTTTTAAATAAAGTTTATGTCATACACACCGCAGTCAAAGCAAGGTCAATGCACTTGAAAAACATTAGATATTATTATATCTATCTCAGTGTGTGTGTGTTTGCGTGTGTGTGCGTGCGTGTGCGTGTGTGCGTGTGTGTGTGTGTGTGTGTGTGTGTGTGCGTGTGTATGTGCGTTTGCGGACGTGTGTGTGCGCGCGCGTGTGTGCATGCGAAAAACTTGTAAAGCAAAGTTTGCTTGTTATTTGATATTTATTTAGCAGCATGGTAATTTTCACTCCATTGGGGAGTTATTTAGAACAAAAAGCGTTTAAACTGAGTGAAGTGTTTCTAATTTTGAACAGAATGATATCAATACTATAAATAAAGTAAAACTTGATATATGTTATGTCTCATTTTTTAAAAATTTACTCTACAGCCTTTATAAAAAAAACTGGTTTACCGATAAAAGGTTCATTTTACAGCTTTCAAATAATATTATGATGGAAGTGTAAATGAAAATGTAATTGAGGAAAGTATACATATTTTCTTAATCTATTCCATAAAAAAATGTAGTCTTACGCTTCTTTGTTGGATAAAGAACTCAATCCACGCAATGAATGGATTTAAGGAAAAATGTTGTTTATTAGACACCTTATTTAGCTAATAAAATGTTCATATCTGTATATTTCTTATAAATGGATTGTTTTAAAAAAATCGCTGTACAAAAGTTAAAAAATACCTTGAATATTTTTCTATAATATTTTGACAGAATCGTTAGAAATGTCTACTGAGGGTGTCACAGTTCAGACCTGTTCACTATAAAAGGGAGACAGTGTATAAGCGGCCGGAAAGCTCAGTCGGTAGAGCCACGGTACGGTATTCCGAGGGTCCCGAGTTCGAGTCCCGGTCAGGCTGCACATTGTTCTCACACTGGGACATTAAGCGCAAAGCATGGGACCGTGATGGTATAAGCTTCGAGTCCAGTTTCACATTGCTCTCTGTACCCATTAGAAATTCAAGGAAGAATTTCAATAACGCGAGGGAAAATTCCTCGGTTCAAACTTGAGTTTAAGCAGCCGGATATCTTCACCGGAAATATGTGTATGCGGTCAGATAACTTCACCGGAAATGTGTATAATCGGCGGAATAGCTTCCCCAGAGTCAGGGACATCTTGTTTGCGGGTCCCGGGTCCAATTTCTTGGAAGAGAAGGCCTTTATCCGTGAAGAAAAATTGTTAACCGTTCCAAAACTTAAGGCGAAATCGAACAATGACATAGGCGTTCGAATTGATCGTATGCAGGACGTTGCAGGTGACTCACCAGTATATAGAAATAACATGTTTGACGATATTATCCCGTAAGTGTGGTACATTTATAACTTATTTATTTCTTTTATTCTAAAAGTCGTGTAACGCAAAATCTGATTTTACAAATCCGTCCATTAATTGAACTGATTAGCAAGTCACACCTATGTTTCATAATTTTAAACTGCACATAGATAAATTAAATCTTAGTTAAGATTATGCATTAACACAGTTGACATGTCTGTCTGTATTAGTTAGTATTTAGTGCAGTAAAACCTTCTTTCAGTACTTCCAAAAAGGAAATTATTCTCCGAATAAAGGCGGAAATGAAAGCTGAAGCTAATTACCATCTTTTGACCAACAACTGCCAACATTCCTGTACAAAAATAAAATATGGGATCCCCTTTAGTAGACAGGTTCGTAATGCATAACTTTTCTAGATTATAACAGTCTAAATTGAAAACATGAACAGACCCTTAATAATTTTATATAAACTATTTATATATATACACACGCGCGAGTACTTCACTTTGTTTGATTAATAAGACAATATTAAGTACTTATATACAGAAACTGCCGACGTACGGTACAGTTTCAACGACTAACAGGAAGGTATGACAGAATGACGGACAAGCTTCATCCAGGAAAAAGCAATTTTAAGAACGCCAATGTCATGGTCATTTAAAGGCCCATTATACATAAAAAGCCATTATTTTTATATCTCGAAACATTTTATAGTTTGGTGTCTTGTTAAACTTTCTTTATAAAAAAACTTATTTGCCATATAAATGAACTGGCTTTTAATTCTTATGATCTGTTGGAAATTGGTATAATTATTTTGATTCAGTATTTTGTATGGGAATGGGAGTCAAATACTACATTTTCCTACCTTTACGACACATTACTGCATATTCAGCGGTCCGTTAGTTTTTAAACACCTAACGTGCTCTAAATTCATTTATTAAACATTACTAAACACATTTTTGACATTTCTAAAGAATAAGAAAATATTAATTTCGGAAGTGCAATGTGCGTTAAATTGTCATTAAATTTATTTAAACTATTTTGTACTTTTCAGGCTGATATTTCAGGCTGGAACGCTTATGAAAACAAAAGGGTCCAAGTAGCATTAGTTGGCGATTTGAAACCAAAAAGTAATCATATGATAAACAAATTTGTACATCAAGAAAGATTTGAATGTTCTGACAAAGGAAAATCTGATGAGAACGACTTTCATTATATGATTTACAATCGAACCAAAACCGGCTTTCATGATTTTTCTGATTTATATGTTTCAACTTTTGTGAGAGAAACACAAATAAGGTCCGAAATCCAGCAATGCATTCAAAATAATACACCCAATACTGATTATTCAAACATTACACTTACATCCCAACTATCGGAATGTAAAATCTTTAATATCGTACCATGTCGAACACGTTTAAGTGGCTCTGGAAGTCAGCTGCTTTATTCCATGGAATATAAATACGATAATGATACAAGCTATACCGAACCATGTCGAACACGTTTAAGTAGCTCTGGAAGTCAGCTGCTTAATTCTACGGAATGTAAATACGATTATGCCACAAGCAATACCGAACTATATCAAACACGTTTAAGTGACTTTGAAATTCGGCTGCACAATTCTACACCTTCATCTGATTCCAATGTATCGGAAGGATATATGCCATCAACACTTGTGTCTGCAATTTCAGTAATCATTTTGGGTAGTTTGGGTATGTGTATTATAATAAGACATTGGTATAAAAGTCGTGAAAGAATGTCCAATAGCAATTCTGCAGTGTCTACAATTGAGCCTATTCATGACGGTAGTAATTAATGCAACTGCAGTTGAGTTCACACTAAAGATTACAGTTGTTACATGTTTTAAAAAGGTGATATCATGGAGTATAATATCTGTGGTGATATACAAGCACCTAATCGGTTAAATAAACACTGACCAGCCAATAAACGACTTGACACTGATACGATTTTATAAATCATACCCAGGCATTGTTACATAATAATAAACTATAAGAATCAACATTTAAGTGCAAGAGAGACTTTATGTTATAAATTACAGAGAACTGCTGATTAGCAATGAAAATATAAAAAAAAACATATTTTATTGTGAATAATGCAACTTTTAAAGAGGTACATGTATGTAAAGTAATTAAAATAAACTTCAAAAACACATATTTATCTTAAAAAATGAATGAGTGGTCACATTTAACTTAAACTTGGAAAATGTTAAAATGTCTTAGTGAAAGAAATGTTTGCGTGTTTTGACAAGTTATATATAGTTATATTCAAATTACATGAAATGACATAAAAATGCTTTAGACAAGACCAGACCTTGATTCATGCATTTGACAGACAACATTTTAAATCCGAAATAAATGCAAATCTGTATATGTTTTCAGACAATATTTCGTAGAAAAATGCAGATAAATAGGGTATCGGCGGATTGAAATGTTCACACTGACTTCAATTTAAAAACTTTTATCTTTTAGAACTTTTAGAAATAAAATATGAAAAATCGGGAAGTTATTAATATATCTGTAATACAGCTCTGCAAGAGAAATCTGTAATAGATTTCCTAGCTTACCCATACTTACAGTCAACATAATTATGCGTTTATATGTTACCTACTCTAAAAAAGAAATTAAAACAACAGTTTGACGAGATTATTTATAATTGTGAGAATGATAGTTCATGCTTTAATGGAGAGTGTTATGAAAAGAGAAATAATTTTTACATACTCTAAATGAATATAGACTATTTCATTCGGATGAGATAAGTGAAAATATGGTAAGTGCTAGAAATGAATATAAATTTGAGAAGGAACAGATACAATTATGACAAGCAGAAAACATGTAGAAGCTTGTAGATAACATATTTAAAAATGCACGTCTTTGTTGAAAGAGTCTGCAGTTAAAAAAAGATCAAATATACAATTATCGTCTTTAGAGAATTATTTTAAAGCTGTTAATAATCCAAATGATGCATTTTTTAATCCTGACGAAGATATTCTATATTTTAATGAAAGATATTGTGATAATGAGTTTAAAATTATGTTCTAAGAATTAAATGCCATCATTTCAATAGATGAAGTTTATTTACGAATAAAACAACTTAAAAATAACAGATCGGGTGGTCCGGATCTTATTTTTAATGATTTTTTTATTGCTGGCAAAGAAACACTTGCTCTTGTGTTATCTATTTTATTCAATAAAATTTTTGAATTAGGATATTTTCCAGAAAAATTGTCTCAAGGTTATATTATTCCTTTGCATAAAAAGGGCAGTATAAATAATGTTGATACTTATTAAGGTGTTACATTACTCAGTTGTTTAGGTAAACGTTTGATTCGTGTTTTAAATAACGGCGGAAAAATAAAAAGCCCAAGCTTGATTTCGTTCTAAAATGAGTACTACTGATAATGTTTTTGTTTTGAGTGGGTTAATAAATCAAGGTAAAGAACTGTATACATTGTTTATAGATTTTAGCAAAGCTTTTGATAATGTTACAAGAGATAACTTTTTGTATAAACTGATGAAATTAGGAATAAAGGGTAGAATTTAAGATATTATTATGTCTATGTATAAGTCTATTAAGTCAAGAGTTAAATATTTAAAGAGTTAAGCGATGAATTCACATGTACATTAGGCGTGAGACAGGGAGAATGTTTATCTCCCTTTTATACCCCCGGGCATATAGTAATTGAACAGTCCGTCCATCTGTCCGTCCGGCCGAACATCCAATGGTCTATGAGCTTCATTCCATCCATAATTTTAGTTAAAAAAAGAAGGACTGGTTTATGAGGTAACTTTACCGGTTTATGGGGAAAGATAAAAAACCACATAAACCTCATATGTTGGCATGTCCGTCCGTCTGTCCGTACGAGGTTAACCTAGAACGGCAAGTTGGATTTTATTAAGTTCTACCTGTACTAATGGCTTCATTATTTACACACTTACTAGTCCATACAAAGTATATGATCTGGGCAAGTTACATAACTATGGCTTCCATTTGCACCAAGTTATGGCCCTTTTCACCACTTAGAAAATGAATAATGGTTAACCTAAAACGGCAAGTTGGAAATATTCTATGTTCTATCTGAACTAATGGCTTAATAATTTTCACACTTACTTATCAATACAATGTACATGATATTGCCAAGTTATATAAATGTTCCATCCATTTTCCCAGTAATAATTATTTCTCTTTTTATCACTTTGAAAATAGGGCCTTGTATGGTTAACCTATTCCGCCAAGTTGGATTTATCAAAAGAATTCTCCTAATTACTTTAATTAAATGATATCTTTAATATTTGGTAGGTGGATACCTTTAACGGTCATCTATTTTTTGTGGCGTTAGGCGTCTCTAGGTAAAGGTCAAGGTCACTTGTGTATAAAAATCAATCTAAACATTTCTGCTCATACAGCATTTATTTTTAAGTTAATGTTTTTATGTTTATAATAGTCATACCAAGGGAGGTCCTCTTCCTTTTCCTTTAGTAAGGGGTCATTTGGGTCAAGGTCAACAATGTCAAAAATAGATTTTTTACACTTTTACCGGTGTATTAACCTTATTCTATCAGATGTCTTGTATATTTTGTAGGAACATAAAATTGAGGTATTCTCATTTTGATGGAGGTAGGGTTCAGTTGGATCAAGGTCACCAGTGCTAAAAAAAGATGTTTACACTTTTGCTCATACAGCCTTTATATATTGACAGATTTATTTCATATTTGGTAGGAAAATAAGTTGCATGATATTCTTCCTTTGGAATTAGGTGTCAGTTGGGTCAAGGTCACCAGTGCTAAAATAGATTTTTTACACTTTTGCCCATACAGCCTTTATTTCAAATATTGTTACTGACAAGAATCTGAGCCGGGGACATTTGTGTTTAACAAACACGTCCTTGTTTATTTTCATTATTTATTAATGATAAAGAATACATTTTTCTGCAAAATGGAGAAAATAGTATTGATGTTAATATGATTCAGATATTTTTATTGTTATATGCTGATGACATTGCAATATTTGCAAATTCAGCTGAAGAATAATAACAGAGTATGAATCTGCTAAATGATTATTGTTAAACTTGGAAGATGAAAGTTAATGTATTAAAAACTTAAGTAATGATTTTAAAAAAGGGCGGTAATTTACCAAGAATTCTATTTCGATGATGAGCAAGTAGAAATTGTAAATAAATTTTCGTATTTATGTATAGTTATTACATGTGGTGGATCACACTCAAAAGCTCAAGATACCTTAACCGCCTCCGTGGTCGAGAGGTTAGAAATCGATGACTTCTTATACAGTTACTGAGTTATCTCTTTTGCGTTGATTCGATGCCCGGGAGATACTTTGGTAGTTTAGCGCGGAGGAAGGTAGTCTAGTACTGGTGTAACTATCCAGGAACGATGGTTAGGAAACTACTCGCCTATATGACTGAAATACTGTTGGGAAAAGGCGTAAAATGAAACAAACAAACAAACAAGATAGATTAACAGGTCAAGCACAAAATAAGATATTTAGATTAGATATTTGTATAAATTCACTTTTATATCTCCTGAACATAAATTGGATTTATTTGACAAAGTTGTTCACCCTATTTTAAATTACTGCAGCGAAGTATGTGGTTTTACTAATAATGTGGCAATTGAAATAATTCATCTACAGTTTTTTAAAAAAAATCTTTGCGGTAAAGAAAACAACGCAAAATTATTTTGTACACCGGGAATAAGGTAGAACAAGCTTAAAATGTACACATTTTTTTTTAAATATAATCAAAATTGGATGAAAACTATTCATTCACATGAAAACAAATATATTCATAGAGTTTATCATATGACTGTTAAAGAATGATTATAAGAATTTTCCAAATAGAATAAACTGGTGTTCATCATTAAAAGAATTACTATGTACTCTGGGTTTCTTTGATGCTTGGCTATAGCAAAGTGTTGGCACATTGATTTATTTTTATTTTTTGTAAAATCAATTTTTACAAAATTAGTATAGTAGAATGAATGAATCAACCAGAGCTTTATTTTATAGAAACATAGCTTGTTGTCAATTCCAGCCTTATTTAGAGTTTTTCAATATCAACAAACTTTTAATATAGAAGCAGGAAGGTGGACAAGGCCAATCAGAACACCAGTTAATGAAAGAAATGTAGTGTTTGTAATTCCCTAGAAGATGAGTATCATTTTATTATGGAATGTTCCTTATTTATCAATCTGAGAAAATAATATATTATCAAAAGTTCTTGAAACGCCCAAATATGATAAAGTTATTGAATTGTTGAAATTCGAAGACAAAAAAGTTGTACAAAAATTAGGGTAACTTATTCACAATGCTTTCATACTCAGAAATGAATATTTTTTTCGGTAACTAATATAAAAAAATGAATTTAATACACACATTGTAGTATATTGTTAATGTTTGTGAAAATTAATTATGTAAGATTATTTACCTTTGTCTACTAATCTTTGTTTTCGCATTTTTCTAAAGGTTAGAAGATGTTTATTGGTAAAATTATTTTTAACCTTTATTATGGAAGGTTAAAATTATATCATTACCTTGCATTTCATTTTCGTGTAAGGTAGGATAGAGAAAATAATGATGTATATATATTACAGAGCAATATGTTAAGATGTATATTGATTTACATGTGCAGTCATTATAGGTATATAATTACATTTCATTTATATGTATCTAAATTAAATATAAGTTTATGTATGTTACCTCCTCCCATATAGACCTTTTTTTGGAATTTATCGGTGTCACATTGCTTTCTGTTAAGTTCATGCACTGTTCGTTGTATGTATATAATTATTTGTGCTATGTTTATGCCTAATGGAATGTTGAATAAATCTTTGAAACTTTACAACTTTATGTTAATATATTTAGAGTTCTAAAATAAATTTCAAAAATAAGTTAACCTGTTTAGAATTACTTGTAATTTAATCATTTAAATAAACCTGTTTTACACTAAGTCTTATATTATGATGATATACCTTGTAAACTTTAATTTGCGGCTTGTTTTTGACCCTAAGGGCCCTTTCACAGCGAGATAAAGGTGCTATGAAAACAGTCTTTCTAACAAAATGCCAATTCGCAACATAATGTCTAACACTTTAAACTATAGATACATCGGTAGTAAAGTTTGACAACCTAAAAAATAGAACATTAATAAGAAAGAATTTAAAACAAATGAATTAAATTACAATACTTTTTTTACGATCAACTGAAGTGCAAAGACAGAAATAATGTGCACATTATCTTAAGAATGTAAAAACAATTACCCAATGTCGTCATTTCAAATTAAAAAAATATTTTAATAAGTAAATATCAAAGGTTTTTTGTATTAATTATTGAAACATGTAATTTAATCAAAATGGCAAAAAGAAAATTTAATGTCTTTCGAAGCTTGATATTCCATTTGAGGGGACAATATGAGCAAAAGTTGTCATATAATATCGGTGTTTATATTATTCGTGAGATTTCGATAGTGTCGACAGGAAATATTTCCATTTGGATCGTTTACAATTATTGTTCTAATCGTTTTGATTGATTTTTCTCTAATAATGTATGATTATATTACAAAAATTGACAGTTTTTTTTTAAACAAGAGGACCATGATGGCCCTAGATCGCATACCTGACCCATCGAACTCATCCGAACAGTTACTTAGACAAGCATTCTGACCAAGTTTCATGACAGGTGAGTCAAATATGTGACCACTAGAGTGTGAACAAGAATTACATATATCCATATATGAGCAGTGTGACCTAGTTTTCTACCCAGTTGACCCATATTCGAACTTGACCTCGAAATCACCAAAACAAACTTTCAGACCAATTTCCAGGATACTTGGATCAAATCAGTAGCCACTAGAGTGATA